TGTATTAATGTTGGGTTCAAGAGGAAAGAAGGAACTTACTTGTTAGAATCGGGGGGTGATATGGGAATTCTCTGAGTTATAGCTCACTCACTAGTAAACAAAAACTGCAATTCCAAGACTAAGTATTAATAGCAAAAAGTAGGAACTGCCAAAATCCAGGAGAGGCAAACAGAAAAAGAAATAACCCAATCTTGAAATCATAACTATTAATAAATAAGTATAAGTGCTTTCTTTAAAAATGACTAAAATTATTTCCATGTAGAAAAAAATATAGTTGTTCTATACTAAACTATTTAATTGAAAATATCTATAGCTTCATGTGCTGGTAACAAAAATATCCTGAGCGATACAAGTGAACTCCAGTAGAATTTGCAAGAATTACTTCACCATAGACAAATGTAACAGATACCATTAAGAATCCTAGAAATCAAAGAACAATTTAGATGGTAAAAATAGTGAATTACTTATTTCACGCACACACACACACCACTTTGTTAACTTTGGCAAATTTTGTCAGCCAACAAATTATGGCTTAGGTTACAAATTTAGATCATTTTAAAAACTAAAAAATCAGAAACTCACAAGGATCTGTGATCATTTCACTACCAAAAAAACTGAAACAGAGTTGAAGTAATTACTGATCCAATTATGACAGCTACATCTAAATCTGACATATACTTGGAAATACATAACTGCAACACATAATATGGAACATACTTAATTTATCAAATAATAAATACTGTGAAAAAAGCAGTCATTGACCCACAAAAGCATACTGATATAACACAATATACTTTATTAAATAACACAAATGTCTATGTTAAAAAAAAACAGACTATTATACCAATGGCACATATATTAAATGTGAAGTCAATGTCTTAAAATAGCAAAAGATAATATAAAACTAACATATAAAGAAACACAAAGTTTTTTTAATAAAATGCAAACTGGATGCCTAAAGAATATCTCTAAACATCTAATAAACTTGTACACATTAACATATTATAGGACATTCTAAAATTACAATTTTAAGTGAGATAAAATAAATCCCATTTATAATAAAAGGAAACCTGATTGACTAATTAGATTCTTACTAAATACAACTTCCTACTCATCAGATTCATAATGGATACAGATGTAAACAATAAAGCAGCTATATGTACATAGTCTTTTACACATTCATCTAACAAAATACAATGACCAAATAAACATAGTTCTATATGTATTTAAAATACTTACTTAGCATACGGTTAAGTATAGCACCCTAGACAAAGAAGAGGAAGAAAATGATTTATGTTCATATGTCCTGTGATCCATAGAAGCAATCAGTCATGTGTTTGCCTGATTACTGAGAATATGCATATAAGTTAAAAGAAACATTTCCATCTACACCTAAGAGACAGGCTAGTGTTCCAAAGGGTTTCTTAAACTCCCTTAATTTCCAATTGATAATTTTATGGGAGAGTACACTAAGTAACTACTTTTTAAAACTAGCCAAAATAAGTACACCTCCTATATATATAAAATTTATAGCTAGATGATCAGCTAAATTTCAGGAAGAAGAGAAATTCACAACATGGGACTTGAAAAGTGATGTACATGTATTATAACTAGGATGATCCAGAATCATAGTTATTTTTTATGTCAATGAACATTTGATTTAGATCCGTTTCAAGTCTATATGGAGTAAAACAAAACTGACTCTGAAAATGTACACTATTACATTGGTTCACTTAAAAAAAGAAACGCACACACAATTAAGTATCAAGAGAATTGTAGGTTGGATTTTCTTCCCTTTTTATCACTTCTTTGTAAAAATTCTATATAAGAATGATCAAAAGAATTGGATTTGAATATAAGATTACTTACATAAAATCTTACTAGCAGTTAGAACACCTACACAAAGGTATTAACCAGTAGTGATAGACTCTTTTATTGAATGATAGCCAATTATTTCAATTATTCATTTTAACAGATGAAGAAAACACAGATTTGTGTCCCACGAGTTAAATCACCTCTAAAACAATACAAACTTGCACAAAATTCTGCAATCTACCAATATTAGAATAACACTTACTATCAATAAAGGCAAACTTTATTCCTTTTTACAATACTTTTAGTGTAAATAATCTATATGAGCATTTTCTAAATAATTAGAAAACATCTATTATAACATATTTCACATATAATGACTAATATGGAGTTCTTGAACCTATTTTTATTAATGCCACTAGACTTCCATCACATGCAATAATGAATGAGTAGTAGGAAACACAAAAATATCCTTTATACATTTAAGTTTATTAACTGGAAAAAACATTTGGATAATTATTGAAATCCAAATTCATTTTTAATTTCACTTAAATAATGGGATTAATTCAGCTTGCTACATCTGCAGCAGCCAAGTTGTAAGATTAAAAGTGAAAGGAAAAAATAAAACATGAAACAAAAGAATTCATATGAAAATGCACAATAAGGTCAAGTACCTCTTCACAGCACGAGAGAACGATGAGACACTTTCATACCTGAAACACGTCTGCTTTGTTCTTTAATAAACTGATCTCCATCTGCTCATGCCCTTGGAAATTTTTCAGCAGTACAACCTGCTGTGCTCAGGTCCCACATAACTTTGTATTTTCCTGCTCATAATTAACTAATTATTCTCTAATCAATAGTGTAGATCTTGATTTTACAATGTAAATTAGATAAATGACATAATGGCTGAGGGTCAATCTCATTTTATTTACAAAGCCCAGCATGAGCATCCAACTTCATTATATCTTATGTACCTGAACAGCAGTGAATCTTATCAGCAGGCCTACAGAAAGTCTTAAGGCTGAGTACTGGGAGAAAGAGGCCTACATTTTATTAAACTAAAAAAAAGAGAAGTATTTGCAAAGAATGTCCAGATCAGAAATATTTTTAATCACAATCCTTAGTGTTATGTAAACTGACAAAGTGCAGACTCAGACAAGTAGAAAAAAATTTCTGCCTTCATATATCATGCAACTCTAAAGTTCAGTCTCTTAAACAAGTTTTAATTGTTTAAATGATTCCAGAAAATTTAAAGAAAAGTTAATAATGCCAATATATCATTCTGCTACAGAGCCCTTCTGAATTCCTTGAAAAGATTTTGGTGAAATATTAATAAAATATTCCCATACTGAGAAACAAGTGAAACAGTGGTAAGTTTTGTCAAATAAAGAATATTAAGTGTTTAAAAATAGTGATCTCTTTAAGTATATGATACAAAAACAGGGAAATAGGATAGTTAGTGTGAATATTATTTATTAGTCATCAATCTATTTTTACTATTATAAATGCAAAATCAGATAAACACTCAAACACATGAATAACAATGATATATAAATGATAAAAAAATTTCATTTACAAACTTAAAATGGATAAAGGTTAAGGCTAATTTCTCCTTTCATGTTAAACATAATCCTAATTTCAAATTTTAACAAAGTTACTATGAACAAAGGCTATGCGTCTTGATTCCTTTCTGTGCCTAAAATACTGCTATCTTCATAACAGGTATAAAATAAACACCTATTTAATTGAAAATATGTATAATAAAGAAGTTAAGCTGCATGTGTTGTAAATAGAATTACCACAATCTCTTTTCCCTAGAAATAAATATTTTTGAAAATTTAAGGGCCCTTTAATGAGATTAAAGCCACATTCAATCAATTGATGTCAAGCACAACATCATGATTCTTTTAAAAAATATTATATACAAATGGTTGTCAAATGATGTCCCTGGCCAGCAGCAGCAGCATCACTTGGGAACTTGTTAGAAAAGCAAATATTCTGGCCTCATCCCAGAGCCACTTAATCAGGAACTGCAGGGAGAAGGAGGGAGTAAAATGCAGAGGACTAAAAGAAGACGGGTGGTATGTGAGCAATCTGCTTTTAAACGAACTCTTCCTGTGATTCTGATGTACTACAAAGTTTCAGAACCACTGCTATATACTGTCATGTCATTCTTCTTGTATCTGAGTTATTTATTTTACCGCTTGATATTTCAGTGTTTTTTTCCTTTCCCTATTATGTGACAATGAACCATCATTCACTTGTTTGGCTGTTTTCTCTTATATATGTCTGTAAAATATGAACAGTTTAGTGTATATTCCCTTAAGTACACACTAATATCTCCTTTGAATAACAACTGGACCAATTTCAGAAAGGGTTAATTCTGTTCCCTGGAAATATAAGAGTGTCTAGGAGATTATTAGGAGGAAGTGTTTTATCCTATTCTATTCAAAAGTTCTACTCCAAATACAGGTTTGCAGGAACAATGATCTTATGAATTATGTGTTTTATATTTATGTTTTACATTTTTATATTTATATTTGTGATCTGTGACCAAGATTCTTAGGGCTAGCACCAAATATGAAACAGGATATCTACCACAGAAGTATAAAGTAAGACACAGGATGAAGACAATATGTTATTACAAACAGAAAAAGGTGGAAAGGATTTTGATTGACAGTGACGTCAAAAGCATAAGACTTAATCATTAAAAAAAAAAGTCTAAAATAAAATGACCATTAGTAATTTCTCACCATGTATCAAAGGAGGATCAGGTCCCAATGCATTAGCATAGTCTTTTGTAAGGAAATGGAAATCTGCCATTTTTCTTAAAATCAGCTAGAATTCAGCAACAGTAACCATTATCAACTTTTTCTTAAGATTATACAGCAATAAATACTGAGTCCTTCTCCTAAGGAAAAAAAAAGCCTACTGGTTTTGCTACAGGTTATTAATATTTTTCCTCCAATGTTACAAGGTCTTTCAATAAGTTAATGATCTCATTTTATACATATTTTATATACATTCTACTTTTATTATATATCCAATAAACTATGTTTCCTTAGTATAACTATAGATTACTAGCATATAGCAACTTTATATTGACACTTGCTTTTGATTATCTATAACATTTCCTACTCTATTCCTAATGTTTAAACTATTTTCAATTGCCACTATACCTGAAAAGATGTCCCAAACCACATCTATAAATCAGGTAATTCCAAGAGACGTGTTGACAATTTACATGTAAATATGCATTTCAATTTCAGCAAAGAGTCTCTTCTAAATCAGTTCAAGATGAAGTCATGAAATATTCAACATATTTCTGTCGTTGACTTAAAACTGGATCATTAAAGCTTGAAGATCAAATTTTAATTCTGCAAACCTTTGGAAAGATACAGATGTTGATGAAGTTCTTTCATTTGGCAGGTTGTATAGTCAATAAGCTTTGTATCTCCTTATTTTGTAACCTCATATTTATGGTTGAGAAAAGTAAATTAAACCAAACAGAGAAAGTTTGTATTAAGCCAATGAAGACTCAGTAAGTTTGGTTACTAAAAATATCTAGAGATCAACACAGATATACCTTGTTTATTTAAAATCTGAAGTTGTAAAAACTGCATGCTAATAATATTAGTGCTTTCACACTAGAGCTAATGAGTCAAAACTAGAATGGCATATTTTTTCACAAGTTTTCATTTTTGCTGAATATTATAAATAAAAGTAACATTTAATATAGTCTACAGTTGTTTCCCAATGTAGCATTTCATACATGAATATATGTATTAGCTGGATGAAACAGAACAGCAGACTAATGGAATGCATTGTCTTTCTTATTTGTTACTAGATTTGTTCAACAATAATGAGTAGCACATTGCATGTAAGTCCCACAGGCTTCCACGACTCTTTAGCAAGTCCAAACACTGTATATCATTTGCCAAAGAAGCAAGAGGCGAAGACATTACTTAATGGACAATTCTGACAAGACATTATCTAGTATTTTTCAACAATGTACATATCAAATGTTTCTGATTAGTGCAAAAAAAAAAAAGTTGAAGGAGAAAAAAAAGAGAAAAAAAATCCATAGAGGCAAATTAACTGCCTTGTCAGTCCAAGTAACAAACCAATCAATTACATTCTATTCAAACCTGACAAGCAAAGGCAATTTTTTGCAGTGATAAGCTTATGGGAAGGACAAGATAGCTGTTCTCCTTTACTTTATGTACTCTATTGAGAGGGTTATCCACATTTTAAAAATCACACTTATAAAAGAGGTTTCCAGGATTGCCTCCGAGGATGAGCTGTGGCAGAGTTGGGTCTCATGAAGGGTATCTACACAGTAAAGTGATAAGAAAAGAACATTAACATTTAAAGATCACAGCAGATCTGCACTATGTCTTATGAAACACACTAAAAATAACCATGGTAGATTCAAATAACATATGATCTGGTCCAAAGAGACAGACGCCCTGAATCTAAATGCCATGATCTTGCAAAGGTTTTTACTAGTTAAACTGGAACTATTTTATTATTATAAACACTGAATAACCTATGTATTACTCTTATTACTTTTAGTTGTCAAAATAAACCTTACTAAATAAAAAAAGAAAGCATAAAAATGATGAGGGGCTTGCATTTATACAAGCAAATATGTAGTTTAATCAATAAATGTTTTAAAAATAGCAGTTTGCTATTTTCTCATCAAATATAGCAATTTAATAATGCTCGAGAAAGCATGCAACTATGCTAAAAACAAGTATACGTAATCAGTACAGTACAGGACTGGTTCTACTCAAGTAGAGAGTCTCAGGGAGGAAATTTTCAGATGATTCTTACTCCCTGGGCCTCCACTGCCTTCTTTTATTAAAGACTATATTGGAAATGCTTTGTTACAATTATGAAAAGTATATCACTAACCAGTTATTTGAGTAGATCTGTGCAACAAGTGACAGAATACACGTCATTGAAAAGACCTGGTCATTGATTATAAAAATGCACTAATTTTGGCCAAATTTTCAAAAGTCATTCATTTGTATTTATTTTCAAAACTTTCATCAACGTTTCTTGTATTTATTTCCATATCAATACATTTTCTGAGTAATTTTAGATGCCTAGCAATTTGAGGTAACTTTTTGATTGTGGTAAACAAAATCTTATCATTCTCTTCAGATATTTACATCTGTGTAGATGAGGTGAAATTGCCAACTAGTCACACATCACAGAAAAAGGTCATTTCAATATTTATTAGAGAGATGTGTTTAATGCTTCTAAGTTCTACTGAGAAAAAGAAAGTGAAAAGTGGCACGATCACAGACAAAGCGCTACTGAGAAGAGCTACCATGCCAGACTGAATAACCTCCAAAGCAAGGAAAAATAAAATTGTACAAGAAAAAAAGAATATAACATGAAACAGAGTTTTCAGAGAAATGTACTTATCAACATATGAGAAGTAAACAGAATGAACAGAAGTCCCTCACTGAATAACAAGGAAATAGATAGGAAGAGCTGAATTCCCTTGTTGAATAGTCACATGTGCTAACTTTTCTCAGCATTTCAGTCTCCAAGTGATGAGCTTTAAGCACATTCTAAATCTGATATTCTGAGAAATGCTTTGTCAGCAGGTTAAGCACTACTAGATAAGCATAAAGCAAGAGGAAGCAACCACATCATTTATCACAAAAGTACATTTAACTTAACTTGCACTTACATGCCAAAACAATGGAGACTAGCAGACAACCCAAAGACGTATTTGTATTTAACAGATAGGAATTTGAATATAGAAACACTAGATATCATAGAAATCTGCTTTAAATTCTAATTAAATCTAGATTTAACTTTGAAAACACTAAAAAGCTATCACTAATATTCTTCCATTCTAAAATTTCACTTAATTTTCAGAGAAAGCAATATGATTTATCCTGTGTGCTACCTTCCCAGGACATTAGACTACTATGTGGTCTTTTATATCAGAGGTAAAGCCTTGACTTTGTATTTATTCCATGTGCTTCTAATAAGTTTACCTACAAATTAATGTAGAAAAAGGGAATTAAATAGTTTCAAAGGGCTTCCCTGAGGCAAGCTTCTTGTATAGTTGGAATTGCTGACCAAGAAGAAACATCTACTTTTGCCCCAATGAAGGCAAATATGCTAAAGCAGCATTTGTCTGGTCAGCAGTATGCCTAATGATTAGAGCATTTGCAACATTCAAGACTGCCTAAACTCAAAACTAATTCTACTACTTCCCGTTCTACCTATTGTGTGGTCTTGAACAAGTTAAAACTCTTCAGTTTCCTTAGTCATAAACTAGGGGTAAAATGAATATCTGTCTAATGGAGTTGCCTTGAGGATTACATGAGATAAACTATGGAAAACACCAGCACACTGGCCCTTAATAAACACTATATAAACTAATATAAAACTAAACACTCGGTAACTAACATGAACAACATTAGATTTATCAAACACTAGAGTAGTATGTGTATTGGAAGGGAAGAAACTATATTCTAATAAGTTTATATAACACAGTTTCAATATATCTTTGGAACAATTTCTACTTCATGATGTTTAATGTCTCTGTACCTCAGTTATCTCATCTCCAAAATGGAGATGTCCACATCTCATATGACTGCTGTTAAAAACTGAATGAGATAATACATTTAGAGAGCAGAGAAGAGGATCTGGGATATAGTAAGCATTATTTTAACATTAGCATTATTTTAATCTCTAGTTCATAAAGACTTTGGGGTTCAATTATTAATAAAATGTTAAAATATTATTTTCTTATATATTATTATCTAGACTTCAAAATCCATCAACTCCAACATTTATATCCTAGCTACATATTCTAAATCCAATTAATATGTCTATTCCATTTGTCCAAAACTATACAAATTTACACAAACAGCACAAATCAAAACTTTGTTACAGGAAGAACAGATGAAAGGGGATGTTTGATTAAAAAAAAGAAAAACCAGAAAACAATATAGTTGGTTTCTAACACTAGAAGTTAGATAATGTTTATTTTATATGATTCTAATGATTGAAATTGTTAAGAAGAGATACCTTAGCTGACTTGGAGAAGGAAACTGCCAGGGATCAGAGCAGCCTCTAGAGGGAATGGGTTACTTACACACTTCTATCCTGGCAGGGGCTCTTTGCCTGTTCCTTTAGTAGTGATACCGAGCAGATGATTCAAGTGTCAAATTGACAGTGAGACCCTTTTCAGAACTGTATAGAATTTGTTTTGAAATTACTATAAGTTACAAAATCTGAGAAAAAATGAGGTTGAGACCTTCATTTTATAGATGAGAAAATGACTATAATGGTAATGTAATTCAAGGTCATTCATCTAGCCAGTAGCAGAGCTATGGGTGGAATACCAGTCTTTCTAAATAACTGAATAACCCCTTTGATGTGTAAGTTAACAATATTAACACATTGCAATAAATAATGAGTATAAAATTACAAAAAATAAATTTTACTGAAAAATAAATGCGTGAAATGAGAAATATTTCACTGCTATATATGATAAAAATTATAATGTCTACTACTCTAAAATTGCATACTCCAGAAATACCACACTTCACTATGTAATTAATGGTTACCATGTTCAGGCTTCTTTTTTTTTTTTTTTTTTTTTACAATTTACTTCTCTATAATGCATTTATTTAGAAAGAAAATTTAAAAATTCAAACACAGATAACAAAAATATTTATAAATGATACTAAGTTACTTGAAGGTTTAATGGTTTAATATAGATTTGAAAATCAATGAATGTCATCATTGAATACTAAATGTGTGAGGCAGGTTAGCCATTCCACATGTCTAAAAAAAATCATCAAATCAGCTTAGTTATAAAGGAAAAAATATATACTAAATAAACATTTCCTTTTCAACCCAAATTTTATCAGAATACTACCCTAATAAGAAAGATTCAGTGGCAGCTGGTCTACCTCCATTATCCAATTACAAATATTTTGAACATTAAACATCCCTTACCCAATTTTTACTAACAGAAGAGCATTCTTAAAAAAAACTTTCAAGTACTGTTTCCTTCACAGGATTCAGTTTATTTTTTAATTTCCTCTTTAGAATCTAATCTCATAAAAAAAAAAAGAATCTAATCTCTTCACAATGTATTATATATAGCATCAGTTTGGTTCTAAAGACATTAACTTAAATCACTGATCATTGTTTTTTATAAAGCTAAGTCTAAGGCACAAAGGCAATATCCTTATAGCTAGGGAAGGCTAAGCAACTCCTAAGAACAGTAATATAAAGCATTTAATTTTAAATTTTAGACCCTTTTACCCTAAATGATTCAGCAAATGTTCAAGACAACCTTGGAGTGAAGCTATTTGGAGAACAAACAGCTGGGTTCAGGAGAAAATGAAGAAGCAGGAGAGCGTGTGGCCTGCTCTTACAGGGAGGATCCTGGTGGACTTTCTTCAGTGACTGGAGTTCAGGTTTAGGTCATTTAATCAGGCAAGGAATAAACCAGAAAGTTGGAGGAATCAACATATATTAGAGCTAAAGAATGCAGTTATACCAGTTTTACTAGCAATAAAAAACGTGGACAGCCAAGGCAAACAGAGTGGAATCCAAGGAGGCCTCAGGGGAAGTGGGAAACACAGACAGGAAAAAAGAGGAAACAATGAAGAAGCTCAAGTGTACAGAATAACATAGTAGAGAACAGTGCAGACATCTTAAGTCAGCCCAAAAAATGGGAAAGGAAAGAAATGGGGAGTCTGGTTTAATACACCCCTTTCTTCCTTGCCTCCTCATTTTTAGCTAATTATCTGCTGTAACCACTGGTGTGAACTTACATCCCCTGAATGTACTGAATCCTTTCCATTCATTTTTCAATCAGTCTAAGTTAGAGGCCCCCAAACTGGTCATTCATCACACAGGCCACCACAATATCAACCTCATAAAGTACTATTCTCCCTGTTATCTCTGACCTTCAGTGAATCCCCATTGTGTGTGCTTAAGTGCTTAGTCGCCTCAGTAGTGTCAGACTCTTTTGGACCCCATGGGCTGCTGCCCACCAGGCTCCTCTATCCGTGAGATTCTCCAGGCAAGAATACTGGAGGAGTTGCCATGTCCTCCTCCAGAGGATCTTTCCAACCCAGGGACCAAACCCATGTCTCTTATGTCTCTTGCACGGGCAGGCAGATTCTTTACACTACTCTCCAAATCTTTAGCCTGAATCCAGGCCCCAATCTACCTTCAAACTACACCACAAATGACTCCAAGGATCCCACTCTATGTCTTTCAGTTCAGTTCAGCTGCATCAGACTCTTTGTGACCCCAGGGACTGCAGCACACCAGGC